CGTTGGAGCTGCAGCAAGCCGTTTAGTGGAGAAAGTGAATACTGCTGAATACACATACTTTACAGAGATGCTGTATGCGAAACCAATGTGAGTTTGGAAAATTGCACAGTATTTTTCTATTTTAGTATATCTCAACAATGGAATTATGATCAGTGGAAATGGCCATGACACCTCTCCTTTAAATCCTGTGTTCCTCCGGTACTTTTCTGTGATTTATCCATAGTTCGCTCATGGAGCCGGGTGTCAGGTTATTCGCCTGCAAGAAAAGGCGCTAGCGCGGGACCTTAGCAGGATGTGACGCATATTTTAGTTGACCTAATTAAAACTGTTTTGTTTTTTATTTATGTGTCACAGTATCACCTCAAAATACAAGATACGAAACATTTTCAACCATGCAAGAAAATATAAATAGTCCTACAAACACTTTTATTTTATTTCCTTCTTATTTTTGTCTAAGCTCAAGGGAACCAGAGCAGAGGGCTTAAAGGGCCGCATGCGGCTCGAGGGCCGCAGGTTGCCGTCCACTGGTCTAGTCGAATAGTCTCTGATAAACTAAGAGAAATGCAAAAAGTGATGCAATTGTCCCCAGTCTCCCCTACAACGTTACTACTAAAGTCTCCTTATGTCTGCAGTAGTATTTATTCCTCTGGTTTTCTGTTCCTTCAGATCTCCCAGAGCAACACGTCTGTAAGGAGGAGGACGAGGAGGAAGAAGAGGAAGAGGAAGATGAGGAGGAGGAATTCTTTGATGAGCGGGAGCCTTTAAAGATTAAAGAGGAGCAGGAGGAGCTGTGCACCAGTCAGGAGGGAGAGCCATTTAGATGCATAGTGAAGCAGGAGATCGATGCCTTTATCCTGACTGCATCTGATGAGGAGAGTGAGCACCAGCTCCTCTCTCACAACTCTCAAGGAGCTGAGAGCCAAGATCAGGTAGGAGGCGAGCAAGCCTCAGGATCAACTAGAAGTGCAGAGCCAATACCACAGAATCAACATTTTGAAAGCAAAAGTCCCAGTAATGATGTAAACAACACTAACTTGTCAGAGATGCACAGTGATACTCACACAGGTAAACAGCTTTTAATATGCGTCACATGTGGAAGAGATTTTAAATTTAGATCATCGCTGGAGAGACACCTGTTAATCCACACAGGTGAGAAGCCATTTTCATGCAACCAATGTGGGAAAGCTTATCAAAGTAATAGTCACCTGGTAAACCACATCAGAACCCACACAGGGGAGAAGCCATACTCTTGCCAAACATGTGGGAAACAATTCTGTCGACCATCAGAATTGAAAAACCATATCAGAATCCACTCAGGTGAGCGGAACGAATTTCCCTGCCACACATGCGGGAAGATATTCACTCAGAAATCAGTATTGAAAATTCATATTAGAACCCACACAGGTGAGACGCCATATTCTTGCCAAACATGTGGGAAAAGTTTCCGCTATTACGGTCACTTGACAGAACACATGAGAATCCACACAGGAGAGAAGCCGCACACATGCAGCTTCTGTGGGAGAGCTTTCAGGCTTAGAAGTAACTTAACAGACCACATGAGAATCCACACAGGGGAGAAGCCGTATCCTTGCAGCTTCTGCGGTAAAGATTTCAGTTCTAAAAGTAACTTGAGGAGCCACATGAGAACCCACAAAGGGGATAAGCAGTTTTCTTGCTGCTTCTGTCAAAAAGATTTTAGATCTAGCTGTAACCTGACAAGACATATGAAAACGCACACGGAGGAAGCGCTGTATGACGTCAGCACAGAGGCTCCAGAGACTCAAGAGAATCAGGAGGAAGCCATTCGGGAAAACCTGTAAATGGATTGGTTATTCATTGTGAAAATGTTAAGAATGTAGTGTACTTGATGTTCTTTAAACTGAAAATAAGCAAAACATTTTTAGGTGTTTTTTAAGGGTAATCTTCTGGTCAGGTCCACTTAAGATCAAGCTGGGCTGTGTGTGGCCGATTAACTGAAATGAGTTTGACACTATTCATATACACTGCTTCAGCAATGAAGCAACTGTTGGTATACCCTTGGATGTAGTTCTACTTGTGAAAATACTGGAGCACCCCAATGACGCCTGCACACAAGTTTGGCATATTTCAAAGGATATGTAACCACTGTCAATTCATGCTCTCCCGCAGGGCCGCCCCTCCCTACACACAGACTGAATGGGGCCTTATCTTGCGGAGGGGGCCTCATCTTATGCCCAAATACGGCGCAATTCATCTTATGCGCAAATGCGTTGCAATTATGCGCTCAACAGTTTCCTCGCTGCGAGGCTCCGGCGGTGGCACTAGCAGTTATCTTATGCCATAACTTGCTAACATGCTTGTATATATTGAACTTCCAACACTATATTGAACCCAAAGGTCAAACTTTGAATGATTTGTTGATTACTGTTGTTACATGATCAAATAAAGTAAACATTTCATGGTATATTGAGTTGTGAGAGTTTCTTTAGCACACTTTTTTTATTAAACGTGTTTAAAGAGTGATATGTGCATCAATAGAGTTGTATGGCTGACAATGTATGCATAAGTGACATTAACATAATGTATTGTGAAAAAAAAAAATCTAACTTCGATACAACCAATGTTAATATCTAGGCCGTCTCCGATACCGAACTTCGGTGCTGATAAGGCTCCGGTGAACAGCTGTCCAATCTTTTTAGGACTAAACCCCCCAGAATCTACACGCAAGATCAACGTAATCTGCTTAGGGGGGCGTTTACAGCGTGGCCTCTAACACCAAACTGCCCGTCGTATCCCTATTTTAGGCACTCCAGCCACGGATGTCCGACCTCTAGGATAGCAAAACGGAGTGTATAGTGTAGTAGGTGTTGGTGGGCTGGTAGAACCCCAGAGCAGTATCAAAACTGCCCCTGGAGGGGAAACCCTGTGTCGTTGGGAGACCCCCTGGTAATTAGGGCAGCTTCAGGACCCAAAATCCCTGTCCCCCAATGTTGATCCCCTTATACCAATTAAAACAATGCAAATGTAAAATCAAACATTAATATCAGAGCAGTGATATTACCACATCAGCAGAGCATATGTCATATTTCAACATCAATCAAAACCCACATCAACCACAGTAGCCAATATGAAACTACAGTTTAACCTTAGCAGAGTTTCTATTCCCTTAAACAATTTCAAATCCAAATTATCAACTAATGTCAGCCTTTTCCAAGGAAGGGTGTTCTTTCCTCACTCTAAGCCCAAGCAGATACCTTCAGAGACCACGAGGGAGACCAGGAGTTGGGTCGAAATGTACAAAGTCCAAACCGGTTTTATTAAGGTTTTAACAAAAATAGAGGATTACAAGAATCCATAAAATAACAAAAGACACAAAGTCAAAATACAAAAGCAACAGGTTCACAAGTCAAATGTCCTAAAGCCATCTAAAAGAGCCCAGGCCCAG